TCAGTGGTGGGTTTAAAAAATTGTTTGAACTTACTCTGTGGGTGTGGCCTCCTTTGTGGGAGTGGCTTGCCGCCCATGTGACCGGATGGGAGTGGCTTGCCACCCATGTGACCGGATGGGAGTGGCTTGCCGTCCCCAAGTGGCCGGATATGAAGATGCCGACGACACTTGTCAGAACCACCTTAAATTACCTCACACACAGCACTGGCATGCATAAGAATATGATGTAAACTTGTTTTTTAAAAGGCATCTTTGGTTTGCGTTAAAACAACTTCAACACACGCAATGTTCTGATTGCACCACAAACACAGTAGTCATCCTTACGTTTCACAAAGGCACTGAGTTTTGTAATATGAGCATGATAGTGTAGAATAATCATACCCAAGGACCAGTGGTGGGTTTCAAAAAATTTTGGAACCTTTTCTGTAGGTATGGCCTGTTTCTGGGTCCACTGGTGGAATCTCTTCTAACCGGTTCGGTAGATTTGACAAACCGGTTCTACCGAATAGGTGCGAACTAGTAGGAACCCACCTCTGAAATTAGGTGAATCACTTTAATGGTGCCCTTTTTATTTTCTTCTTGTCAGCTACTAGACAAAAATATATACCTAACAATATGCATTCTATGAAGCTGTTTCCCTTGGATGTTTATCTCAAAGAATCCTGAATGTTTCATTTTCATGCTAACCATAATCAAAAACACTCTTGTGTACCAAATTATAGTCAGCCAGAATTAATGACAGAGAAAGATGCACAGTATAGAATGAAGCAATATGTATAATTAGTTAATCTTTTCTGGTGATTCAAACTTCATGCAAGTGTCCTTATGCAAGCGCTTGGAAATCATGCATTCAGCAAATGTGATGTACACTTTACCTTGAATGTTCAATCACTGGTGAGGATGTGTTCTTAGAAGACATTATCTATACCATAAACATATGAGCAGCTGAATCAATTTTGGAGAACAGTGAAATAATTCAACAATTACTTGGAGATATCCACCACCAGGTAAATTACTAAATTATGTTTAAACATAAGCATAACATACCAATTTGAATAACTGTATTTTATGCAGGTGTACTCAAGCAGTTAATACAGAAAGAAAGATTAACATAAATTTTGCACACAAACATAATATTTTTGTCGCCTATATTAAAAAGAGATTACTAAGTTGTATCATGACCAAGGAGAAATAATCACCTTCAGTTACTTAAAGAAAATCTATTATCTAATGTAGAACTTCTGCAAATAAAGCTCTAATTTACAACAACATATCAAATTAGTTACTTATGTTGCAGGGACGTGCAGTCACTAGAGGCAAGGGAGGCGGGGCCTCACCAGTCTCCTCAGAGAAAGGAAAGGATTTTAAATAATTTTCTTAAAATAATTAAAGGTTTTTCAGGTTTCAGGTTTCGTTTTATTTATATGCCGCCCTATTCCCAGTGGGACTCAGGGCGGCGAACAAACCCAAG